TTATCAAATAGTCACACCAGTATGTGGCTAGGCCATTAATGAAGAAAAAGAGACACCAGAAATTAGAATATTTGAAAAACAAATAAATATTTTTGGTATTTCAGAAAAAATGTAGAAGCATTTGTTCAGAGAAAATAATCAGAAAATCGCTGAACTGATGTACACTTATTTTATGACAATATCATTTTTACTTTTAAGAATGTGTAGGTGGAGAGATAATTAGGACATACAGGTAAGAATGGCATAACTTTTTTCAAGATTCAGGACGTACAGGAATTTTAATCTGATCCTAAGCACAGAAAAATGGTCACCTCCTAACCTCTATGTCATTAAAAACAACAACAATATCTATCTATAAAATAAGTGCGTATCAGTCCAACAAAGTTCTGATTTTCACACAAACAAATGCTTCTAGGTTTTTCTGAAATATCAAGAAGGCTAGATTTTCTCTAAAATACATTTTTTGTGTGGGCCTTTTTTTTTTTTTTTGCCAAATTCAGTATGTACAAAGAACAAATTATGGTACCTGAAATAGTCAAATAAAATGAGCCACACAATGCAGATTGGTAAACTGAATTAAAATTATTTTACCAATTAAAATTCAAATTGGTAAGATAATTCACTACCTTTCTACTATAGTAGTTTGTACTCATGAAATTAGTGATCCATCCTGTTACACCATTTACCAAAAACAAATTTTGACAAGTCTAACCTCCCTAAATCTGTTCCCATTTATTTTAAATAATTGTTATGACACTAGCTTTGTTGATATGATTGAATTAAAATGATAGAATAGAAACTGAAATTGATAAAATATAAAATGAAAAATAAAGATGGAAAAATGACAGAATTAAATAAAATTGTATTAATACAAGGTGAAGTGATGGTACTAATTACAACTATATTGTTTTCATCATTAACTATTTCATGGGTGTGTATCTTATATTCTCCAAGGAAATTCTTTGTTGCTAACATACGCAAAGTCTCCTAGTCAGGTAAAAGCTCTACAAATAGTTGTTAGTTAATTGATTAATTTATCCTGTTGAAAGCACATTTTCCCTTGATAGAATAATAGTGGAATGTGTAAACAGAGGGAATCGTAACAGACTTCAAAGTGTAACAACCAAGTATGAACCTAACTTTTTCTTTCAGTAAAAGCCCATTATTGTGTTATTTATGTTAAAACTTCCACAATAAGGCTCCCATCATGAGAAACAAAGCATTAACTTTTGATGAACCGAAAATAAACGTAGAAAACTATTTTACTCTCCAAATATTGTCTAAGTCATTCTGATGGTTCTAGAATATGCTTAATACGTATATAATGTTTTGGTTGAAAAAAAGAACTCACTCCCATACTATGCTAGGACAGTAGTGGTTTTGTCTTAAGAACAGAGAAGGTTAAAACCAATTAGACATAAACCAAGAAACATATTTCTTCATTTTCCTTCCCATATAGCAGAGATGGAACAAGGATAGCGATGCTGGAAAATCCTGCCTTGATCAAATAATCACTTCAGCTAATGTCAGAAAACCTGTATTTCGATCTGACTCCTCTATCGTTGCTCTGGGAAACTGGACATATACTGGCCAGCTGCTGTGAGGGCTAAATTAGATGATGCAGAAAGTGCTTGGCATGGAGTAAATATTCAAAACAACTGTTATTCTAAATACTCTCTTCTGATGTCAACTTGCAGAAGGTAGATAAAATAAAAATATATTCTGAAGTCACTTGAAATAAGAAATAGCCTATTACAAAGTGAGAAAGTAATTAAAGTGTGTCTTAATTAAAACAAGTTTTACTAAGGCTTACATACCAATCAAAATATTTAACTCCAATATTCCAACATGAATGACATTTTTAAGATAGTGTTTGAGTGGAATATTAGTTTGTTAAACAGCACATTTAAGCATCAATTTGTACATATCTTTCAAAAAATTTGTTTTTTTTTAAAAATCAACTTGATAGCTCTTGAATTATTTTGTGTCAAGACCCCCTTAAATAACACTTTACATTTTCAAAATTAATCATACAGCAGAGAATAATTTTAATATAGATATTTGACATCAGACTCCAAAAAGTTGCTGAGAAAGGCCTCTATGAACAGGTAAATGTTCAGTTTCCTGCATTCTGGCAGAATTACATGTAAATTTTTCTAGGAAGACAATCAGTTAATTTCTTTGCAAATACCCAGAGCCTGTAATTTAGAAGCCAACTACAAAATGGAGTCTTACTGTTATAATCTAGAAGTGCCTGATCTTAAACAACGAATTTAACTCTCTTAAGTAAATGACTTAGTCTAGAAAAAGCAAGAGACATTCTTGAGAAGGAAATCTAGCCCATCCTAGACAATTGCATATCTAGGTCATACCTATGGAGGTTTTGATGAGAAAAGAGCGTACTGCTATATCTGATTAGCCAGCTGACTACTCACACTTACAATGAGGAACTTCTACGATTTTATATTCCTAATCTTCATAACTCCTCATAAAGTTGAAGCCCATTGACCGTATTTGAGGTTCCAAAAAAATAGCAATAATGTCCTATACTTATGCCCCATGTTCAGCTTATCTGGAACAAATGATTGTCATATTTCAGTTTTCTCTTCTCCGAATTAAATAATGCTAGTTTTTTAAAAAAAATCTTTCCTCAGAGAGTTCAACTTTTAGTGCTTAAAACATACTTCACTTTTCTGTGGTCCCTTAGCAAAGGCCATATAATCGTCTTAAATCGTGGGGTCAAAAGCTAGGCCTGCATTTCTATCAGGGTAATAGCGGACACTTGGCAGGAACAGGCTACCTACAAGGAGTTTTAAGCACATGGCCTAAGGGATTTGCCTCTGTTCGAACTGTACCGACTTTGCCTATAAAATCACATACAAACAGACACTCAACAAAAAAGAAACAAAAACAAAGCCCCAGGATATCTGCTTTCATTGCATGAAATGGGGTCAACTAGCACAAATCTTAATTTTTTAAGTGTACTATAGACATATCTAACATTCTAATTTTTGGAAGTCAAGAATTATCACTGAGAGATTCAGGATGCAATGTGTTATACAAATTTGATATAACATACAAGCCTAGTATCTCTTTCCTTGCCCTACTTCATATAGTTGTTATAATTAGGCGCACGGTAGCAGGAGTTTACAAAGCTATGGATCTATAATACATGGCATGCTATGAGCACATGCACAATTAAGTCACTAAGGCCCCTTCTCAAGTATAAACCAAATAGAACAATTATTCTCAGAGAAATTAAACTTTAAACCTGATTCAAATACATAGGAAAATTATAAATGTGGGTGGGGGTGCATGTAGAATCATATGCAAGGCTGAAGCCCCAAACAATTGTTATTTTACATTGTAAAAAATGTCTGTACTAACAATGATACTGTTAGAGAAGAGATTAATGGATAAAACTATAATAACCCATGTGGTGAATGTAATATTACTAATACATTTTACCTACATAGATTTTTCTAGCTTTACTTCAATGAAATCCATTATCCTGGGTAGGAATGGAACCTCCTCATCTCTGGCACCATGAGCCTTGAGCTGCCTTAAAGCCCTGACATAATAAAAGGTCAAGCAGATCCCAGTAAGCATTTGTAAACTACAATAGCCCCCCATTTCAGCTACAAGCCACACATTATGCTGCTCAGCTTTGCTCACTCTCTGGTTTCATGTCATTGTATAAGCAGACTAATTTAGAAACGGCTGGGCTAGGGTATTTGGGAATACCTAGATTTTCAAAACAATCCTACTTTCCTACTTAATCATTTGCAGAAGGAGACCCATAATACAACATTTGAGAGAACTGTAAAATGGTGCCTGGATACTGAAGGAATGAACAGCCGATAGCAGCACTATTAAATAAAATGAATGCATTTCACCTTCCAGCTTAGCTGTGCTTCCTGGGACACAAGGCACAAACATGAAAAGGTTGGGGTGGCATTTCCAGAAAACTGATTTGCTCAAACATTCATTTGGCAAGATGCTAGAAACAAAATCATACACAAGCCGCCTCCCTTTCCCATCATTGTGAATTTGGAGTCCTCAGTATCACCCCCCACAAACCCGATTAAAAATAAAGAGGCAGGCTATGAATTTGCATCTAGTTCTGTGATACAGATCAAAGGATAGGCATCTGTTCCAACTGGTCACAATAAAATTAAGAGACAATAACAAGAGTAAAATTTCACATTAATCCAAATTAAGCCAGTGAATAGTAATACAAACCAGAAGCATAGTTTCAAAAACATGCAATTACTTTCAGGCATACAAGGACATATGTAACCCATAAAAATGATTGCAAAGCACACTCCACATATAAATATCCTCCATAAACGCAATATAAATGCTAAGTAACACGTGTATATATGATATGTATATTCATAAGATATACATGTGTAAGTTCACAATGAAATCTATGTATAAAATAAAACTGGTTCTGGCAAACGATTTCTCAACAAGAGTACACGAGAATATAAAATGGAATGTCGAATTCTGGGGCTGCTTTTTCTAAACAATCAATGAAATAAGCAAAACCACCTTATCATGAGTCTGGGAAGCTTATGAGACACCGAATGTATTTCTGAAGAAGGCCCAACCCTGTATGTGAGAGCTGCAAATGAAATGATTCCTTTCAATAACACCCTCTTCTTGTTGTTACCTCCTTTTCCAACCCCTGATGCTGTTGCTAAGCTTAGGAAAAAAGGCACCAAGTGGCTCAGTCTGCATTCTGAGCCAGTTAGAGATAAAATCAGAGCATCTTTTTTTTTTTTTTTTTTTTTTTTTGTTAAACCACAAGCGGTTGTCTTCTCACTTCTATCTTCCTGGCAACCTTCCTCTCCCTTCATCCTCATCTCTGTCTCCACATCTCCCGCTCCTAGTCTGAGGCACGGGGAGTCATTGTTCAAGTTCAGGCCAGAAACGTATACACAGGTCAAATAATAACACACTAAACCAAGAAGGGAGCCCTACGGTTTCCTACTCACCATGCTGAGACCCGGAGAAGCTGTTTAAAGGAGGGAGAGATGCAAACTGAATCCATTTTCCTTGCGACCGAGTCGGATGCAGCCTCCGAACCCAACATCAGCAGCGGCTGCCGTTTTTTTTCTCTCTGTCTCTGGTTGGCGATGGTGCGAATAGGAACCACCCTTCCAGCTGCACTAGAGTATCAGCAATAGAGGCGGCGGTGGCGGCGGCAGCGGCAGCAGCAGCAGCAGCATCACCAGTTGGGCCTCCTCCCTCTCGGAGGATGGGGTGAGCCTGGAAGCAGCCAGGAACTTGCAGCAGACACCTCCTCTGGCTCCTCCTCTCTCTCCCCCTCCCCCAGCGCCCCACCCCTGCTGCGGTAGAGGCTGCTGGGCCGGCAGCTGCTGGTTGCCATGGCAATGACCAATGATAAGCGACCAAGCTAGGGGGAGGGGAGATGGGCGAAGCGAGCTGCAGGGTCTGCAGGGGAGCGAATCGGTGCTGCTGCCCTCTGGGATGCTCTTGATCTCTTCTACCCTGGACTCCAGGTCTTTAAAAAAAAAAAAAAAAAAATGGGGCGAGGGTGGATAGGCACGGGACGGGAATAATTAAAATTGATTGAAATCTAGGTCGAAACATATCAAACAGCTTAGCTGGTTTTTTTTTTTTTTCATTTTCTGTGGTTTTCCAATAAAATGCACGAAATTTACCGTCAGATAAATGATAACAAATGTGGAGAAAATTATGTCACATGACAGCAGATTATTATTACTGCCAAACGTGTTGGTCCTTTATAGCATCTTTTACTCAATACCAGGCAACAAGGTTGTTAGAAAGCAAACGCGGTGGCTGGACTTTGTAATAAATTGAGTCTGGTTGATTCCTTTGCACTACTCCCGGCTTGTTCTCAGGTGAGTTACTTGGGTTTACTGTTTTTCCAGCTGCCCTTCTGAAGAGGACCCGGTGGTATTTGACACTTCCCTGAGGAAAAGTAAGCTGGGATAGAGGAGACTGAAATTCCTTTCAACAACCAGTATTCTCGGTAGCACCAGTTGGTGGACAGTTCCCAATCTTTTTTAGTATCAAACTCCTGGAGCGTTCCATTTCCTGCAGACACTTCCTGCCATTTTCTTGGATGCCCTTTTGGAGTTCCGAAGTCAGTTGGCAGTCAGTCAGGGTGGTGGGTGTGAAAAGGAGAAGTGAAATCAGTAGTGTCAAGTTCTAGGCGACTTCTGTCTCTAATATACATTATAGATGACACTAGTATTTATCTCACGCAGGTGTTGTAAAGGTTGAACGAGATAATGCACTAAAAACACTTGGCCTATAGTAAGCATACAGTGTACAATAAATATTACTATTGTGGCATAGTACTGGCCACCTCTTAATCTGAGGGTTTAAGGGGAATTACATGGCAGTTTCAGGTAGGAGAAAAAATTAAGTGAGAAAACACAAAATACGTGATAGCCATGGCAATGATGGCACAGGCAGAAAGGCCCTAAGAGATTGAATGTTCTACACATTTCGATATTTGAGGACATTGTAAATCTCAGAGGAGTTAGATACATTTCCTAAATTCACAACTGATAAACGACAGAGCCAGAATTAAAATGGATTCTTATAACACTCACTTTTGCTCTCCAGACCACTACACTTTTCTGCCACTCCTCCATAAAATGGAAATAATCTCTGTTCTGAATCTACAGAGTTATTTACAGGTTCAAATGGCATTAACACAAGTTTCAGAGTCAGACGATCTTGGCTCCATTCCTAGTGCCAGTATTTACTATAGGTATAATTTGGAACATATTTGTTAACTTCCTCAAACCTATGATTCTTCATCTGTAAAGAGAAATCATCATAGAATCTCACGAATCATTATAAAAATTAAACTAGATGATATGTGTAAAATGTACAGTGTTCAGCAGATAGAAAATATTCAGTAAACGTAGCCACAGTTACTTGTTACGCATTTGTAAGCAACTAATACTAAACCATGAGAAGATGGACATTTTCCTGCATGGTGTCACTCTTGATCTCAGGAGCTTATTCTAATAAAACTGACTCGAAGATACCTAGGTGATGGGGGAAAGAGTTGCAGCTCCTCCCCAGCACTTGACCCTGGCTTCCCATCCACTTGGTGGGAAAGCCTGCATCCCGCTTTGTGCAGCTAGTGTCCCTGCCTTTTGTCAAAGCCTCAGCAACCACACAGCCTGCACACACTTCCAAGTCAACATCACATATGTGTGATGTGTATCATAAAGGAGTAGATTGTGATCACCTCGCTTCTTTTTGCATTCCTGTATTTTATCTTCTCCGCAGATGGTCTTTTCAGTAAGCAGGGCAGGAAGCTACAGGCTGTAGAAACTGTGACACAGTAGATGACAGAACCCTTCACACTGTCCTCAGGACAGCATTTCATCCTTTGCTCTAGGAGCTGACTGGCTAACGTGAGTGATTCTAGTTTTCTCCTCTCCTCCCACCAACATAAAACAATTAGTCAAAAGGCAATCGGTGGAGAGAAAAGTTTGGTGTTTCCTATTTGAAGAAGTCTCCAATTTAAACATTCAAATATGACTTTCTTATTTCTTTTTGATCACATCCAGGTAGCACTGTTATCATTATTTAATAATAGTTTTCCTTTATTTATTGCAATTATTTATGATTTATTTGATTTGTTATTTATTCATTTTTAAGTGACATTTGTCTCTGACTTCAGCAAAATATAAATGAAAATTGACATGGTAAAGATGATGGTCCAGGCCCAGTGGCTCATGCCTGTAATCCCAACACTTTGGGAGGCTGAAGCGGGTGGATTACGAAGTCATGAGTTCAAGACCAGCCTGGCCAACATGGTGAAAACCCAGCTCTACTAAAAATACAAAAATTAGCTGGGTGTGGTGGTGGGCTCCTGTAATCCCAGCTACTTGGGAGGATGAGGCAGGAGCATTACTTGAAACCGGAAAGGGGAGGTTGCAGTGAGCTGAGGTCACGCCATTTGCACTCCAGCCTGGGCAACAAGACCAAAACTCCATCTCAAAAAAATAATAATAATAATGAGAGAGAGAGAGATCATGGACCCATAGGAAGGAAATGAAATCAAATTCTTAATTTTTTAGTAAAACAAAGACTTCAACTTTATTTATAATAATTTTTAATTTAAAAAGAAAATCACACCTCTCTTTTACCATCCCCTCTCTTACCATTCTCTGATTTTCTATATACTATATATAAAATTAATATTAATAATATACTATATGATAATATAATACAGTGTGTTATCATATAATATAACATAGTTTAATGTGGTATGCTATACTATAATATGTATAACATTACTACTATATTATATATTAGTAACATACTGTATTCTTTTGTGTGCTATTAAATTTTTTTATTCGTTTCTCCCTGTTATAATATAAACTATGATAGGGCAGGGATTTTTATTTTTGTGTGTGTGACTAGTGTCTGGGCTATATTAGGTGCCCAATAAATATTTGCCAAAGAATAAACCAGTAAATCAATAAAGGAACAACTTTCTGCATTGAATCATGGTTCTGTAATTTATAATAGTATAATTTGTTCAGATATATACTGTTGATATTTCTCACAATTAAATTTGAGATAATTATACTAATTACCTTATTTAGCACACATGCGTATTAACATGTTTATCTGACACAGATTTTACAAATACATAGGTATTAAAGTAAAAATGTTTTCTCATGTATGAAATCATCTAACATATTTGAAGTCATCTAACATATCCTAGTCATGTCTGAAGTCATCTAACATATCCTCATTGGGTAGGCATGGTGTTTTTTGGGAAACACGGATTTTCTTCTAAGAATAGTATTAATTGTGACCAAACTGTCTGCCTCTCCTGGGACTTTTCCAACTTTGACTTCTTGGCTCCAAAGTGGCATTAACATTTCAGGAGATAATACAGCATAATGGGAGGAAGCAGCAAAATGTGGGCTCTGGTGACAGACTTGCTGATTGAGTCCAGGCTTTACCATTTCTCTTCTGAGTGACCTTGGACAAGTTGTTTTATTTCTTTACGGCTCAGTTTCTTTGTCTGTATGACATGATAGCAGTACCTACCCCACTTAGTTACTGTTCTGTGTGATTTGTTTGCACTGTGAAGTATCATTTAGTATTATCTCATAGCACTTGTGGGGCAGAAATCTGGGAGTGGCTTAGCTCGCAGCTTCTGGTTCAAAGTCTCATGATGTTGCAGTTAAACAGTTGGCTGTGGTTGCAGTCTCATATGAAGTCTTGACTGAGTTCAGGGATCTGCTTCCAAGATCACTCCCGGGTTATTGAAAGTCTGTGGTCCTATTGAGTCGTTTTTGAATTTTGTGTGTGCAAAATGTTAAGGAGTATCTGGCATGTAATAAATGATTTTTAAAAACCAATATTCTTATAAACACAATGTTATTAACTATGGTTATGCCTAACACATTTTTCTGGATGTTTCCAAATCACTTAGATCACTTGGGATTATTCTAAAAGCCTGCTGTTACGGCTGCAGACCAGCTGTTGACAGATAATGAGGAATTCTGAAGATACTTATCTCACACTTAGTCAAAAGCCTGATTTCCCCAAAAAGAAGGCAAAAACAAAGGCATTCATAAGTGACTGTTGTTTATCTTCTGCCTCCTTTATAAGAGATTATTAATATATTATATTTACAGAGAACATTAAATGTAAGAAGTAAGGATCTTCTTGAGTTTGCTAAGGACAAGGATCTCATTTTGACTTCATTGTATGTCCTTTATCAATAGTTTCAGTACACAAATATATCAGAAGAGCTCTCCTATAAACTCTACACTCTTATGGCCAATGATCTGACAGATGACTTCCTGCATAGCAGGTAGACACTTCTGTATTTGCTCAGTCTATTATCACTTGAGGTTCCTTTTTTTGCCTCAATTCTTCAACCTTTAAAACTTATCCATTACCTCCTTCAGTGCATCTTTACTGATACCAGGATTAGCACTGAAGCTAGGGTTTCCATTGTACTGTGATGCATCTTAACTACACCTATGATGGTGAATGGAAAATATTCGTTTCTTTGTCTTTCTCTCGTATTTTAGTGCAAGCCCTTTGAGGTCAAGGTTAAATTTCATTCATTTACTTATTGTTACTTAATCTAAGAAATGTTTATTGCTACTTGCTATGTGTGCTGTTACTAAGTATCAGAGACGTTGCTGTGAGTCAGGAAACATGAGAACTCCCCTCATGGAGCTTATGGTCTAAGAGGAAAGAGAGATTACATAATTACTTAAAATAAATTATGTTGAGCACTACAATAGGGAAAATCAGGCAGCTCTGACAGCAGATGAAAGAAAAGTACAATGTAGTTTGGAATCCCAAGGAAGATATTACTGGAGAGATTGTGGGGTGAAGTG